TTCATAGCTTTATTTCAAGAACCCCAGCTTGGTCTCTTTCTTCCCTTTCTGCTGCTTCTCTGCATTTTCTTTTTGTCTGAAGCTATTCACCAACAACAGACAAAGACTTCAGCTGGCCAGAAACTGCACAACCATGCGAGGGTAATGCTTTGCCCGAGAAATTAAATAATGGCCACTTTGTGGGGCTCTCCCTGCTTCCTTCCATAAACATCTCTGCCAGCAGCTCTGTTTTGGGGGGATGGCTGCCTGCATCTCTCCTGGAGCTCAGCTGGACCAACTGAAGTCTGGCATCCCACCACCGCTGATTTATTCTGCTGTGAGCAGAGCAGGGAAGGGGCTGGCTTGTGCCAGCAAGAGGAGACAAGAGGCGTGCAGTTCCTGCGGGTTTTAAACTGGTTTGGCTGAGACTTGTCCTTTCTTTGACAGGTCTGGTGGGCGAGGGAGGTGAAGGCATCCGACCGGTCTTTGGGAACCAGAAAAAGCAGTCCAGTCAAAGATCAGATCCTGTTGAAAACAGCCTTAGCCCAGGAGTGGAAAAGGAGCACTGAGCCCAACCCAAGGGTTTTCTATCTGGGGGGTTGTTTTCAGTAGCCACATAGAAATCTACCACTGAACATTTGCACTAGGTTTTTTTAAATGCTGTTAGGACAGTGAATAGCTGAATATAAAAAGTAGGTACCCAGTTCAGTCTTTAAACTGAGTTTTACATGTCCCAAATCCTTGGATAATGCAAGTTGTTATCTATCCTGTGTTTACAGCGAACACAGCCCAGTGTGCTGGCTAGAAAAGTTTGTCCCGGAAAAAAAAATAAGAACTGATCCCTAATGTGCAAACTGATTTGGTTACACAGAGATTAGCTTGATTTACATTCATGTCGTTCCCACCACCAGCCACATCACTGTTCCTGTGGACGTCGTGGCACTGCACTGCCACGCCAGCAAGGCTTCTGCTGTGGTCACCCGGGGCGTCAGCCTGTCTCCCAGGCAGCTGGGGGGCACTGGGAGCATCACCAGAATCCCTGTGGTCCACACTGTGCTCCTGAAGCAGCCTCCAGACCTGACAGCTTGAGGGGTTTTGCCCAGGCTGACTTCTACTCTGGAAAATGCAGCTTCCTTACCCTGCCTAGACAGAAAACAACCTTCTAGGACCTTCCCTACAAGTCAAACATTGCCTCTCAGCCATAGCCCCAAAGACAAACATACCTGAGGTAGTGTGCGGTGCTGGGAACAAACAGAAAGCCTTTGGGTAGCACAGTGGGCCCCCACCAGTTCAGCAGGCATTTTAGCTGGCTCTGGCTGCCACTGGGGATTCAGCCTCACACCTTCTTGCATGGGGACCTGCTCTAGCAGCCAGGTCTGGATGGCGAAGGAAGCCTGTAGTGATGGACTGCCAGGAGAAGGTGCTCTTGGAAAGCACTGGTGTTGGCCAGGCTTTCACAGGACTGTTGTGAGCATCTCCTGCTGCTGTCCTCTGAACAGTCAGAACCTTGTTGCCCACCACTTCTGCCCTTAATAAAAGTCTCCACTGAATTTAGCACTGAAGGACTAGATTTAAGGCCCTTTTAACACTTTCTGATCTCGGATTGCCTTTTTTTTTTTTTTTTTTTTACCCAAGAATTCCAGAAAGCTTTTAATTCTCAGCTGGACTTTGGACTCAAAGATCATGTTGAATTGAGGTGCAGGCAGAGATTTTTGAGAAGAGTCGCTCTTCTGAGGTTCCTGAGATTTATTGTCAAGAAGAAAATGGGACAGGTTTTGGCACAACCAAATCTAATCTTAAATTTAACAGCAGTAGATCGTAACGTATAGTATCCTGCCCTGAATCTGAAGCCTTCCTCTTTGCTCAGCTCAGCTTATATAACTTGTGATATGTTGTTGATTATATTTGCCCTACAGCTGTATCCACAAGCTGAGGGACTCAGGATGTTCCCTGGAAAATCATTCCTCAAATGACTGAAGCATGATGGGGGTTTGCCACATGAGAGTTTGCAGTGAAATGCTAACAAAAACAAATTCCTGTGTTTTGGGATGTTTTCTGCAGGGACCTGAAATGCAAGATCAACCAGGAGAGCAGCAAGAGAGAGTTTCTGACAAATCAATCCCACCTCAACGCAACCCACTGCGTCCACTGCCTCCAGCCCTTCAAGTTCCTGCTGAACAGCAAGCGGCAGTGCCTGGACTGCCGCTTCTTCATCTGCAAGAACTGCAGCCGCTACAACAAGAAGGAGCAAGGCTGGGTCTGCGATCCCTGCCGCCTCTCCAGGTACCGCTCCCGCCATGGAGAGCCAGGGGCAAGGCGAGCCCCGGGGCTGAGACACAAAAACAGTTGCCCAAACTCAGCATCCCTTTATGCTGGTTAGAAACCAGTTACGCCAGTTAGAAAACAGGCTGTGTTTCTGTGAAGAGGCAGTTTCTGGGTGAGGGTCTGGTCACCGTAAGCGTGGCTGGACTGGCTCACCTGTATGTGCACACTCTTTTTGGGCAGGATCGTGAAGATCGGTTCCCTGGAGTGGTACTACGAACACGTGCGATCCCGTTTCAAGAGGTTTGGAAGCGCCAAAGTGCTACAGTCCCTCTACGGCAGGCTGCAGCCGGGGCAGGGGGTGAAGTCCACATTTCTTGGTGAGGAGGAGAGCTGAGGTTTCTCCTGCATGGGGTGTCTGTGCAGCACTGTGTTGGAATGCACCAAGGGAGGAACATCAGCATTGGTGCTGCTCTGAGTTCCATGTTGTTTCAAGACCGTTCTTGGGGAGGAAGCAGAGATTCAGAGTTGGGAGTTCATACTGAGAGCACCAGAGCAGATGTTCTTGATGGGTTTTTTTCCCCTTTGTTAAGGTTTATGTTTTTAACACAGATTTGAGTGCGGAGTTTTAAGTCTCATGTCCTGCAGTAAGAGTTGCAGCTCTTGTTTTTCTTTCTTTTAGCTCTTTTCATCACAGGGGAGAGCTTGTGAAATTAACCCAAGTTTAACCTCGGGTCCAAAACATCCAACTGGCTGGATAAAGCCAGCACTCATTTTTTTTCCCCATGATCTTATGATTTTTAAAGCCAATATGATGATGCTCTGACACTGACAAAACTGCATCAAAATTAGTGAGTTACCTGTCACCATAGCTGTTTACTTCAGAGCTTTATGGATCTTCAGTATTTCTGATATTGATCCAACAGTGCATAAACATATGGTGAAAGCTGTTGTTAATGCAGTATTGTTTACTGGGTAGCTGCTAGTTGCCATTCATACAGCTCCTGTACTGCTTTGCCTATTGCTCTTGAAAACCAATGTGGATTTTATTCCCATCTTGAGGATTCACAGAAAAGTTCACACAAATACCATAGACATGAGCTGATTCAACTAGTCCAGTCATTCTTTTATCCAGACATGGAAGAAATATCAGAAAGACCGTGGAGGGTTGTGTCATTGAATATAAAATTAATGGACTGAGAGACAATTTATGCAGCATGCAGTCTGTGCATCAGACCACACAGAAAGGAAAATCCGAGAGGAAACAAAACCAAGTGCAAGGATATCAGTGCTTTAGGCTTCTTTAAATTGAGATTCAGATGTCTTTTTCAGAAAGAGATTATTTTGTTGTTATTACTTCATCAACACCAGTGAATTGGCTTGACCCTTGAGCAAGAAGGAATCTCCTCCTGGGACATGTCTCTGGTTGCAGGAGGTACAGCAGAATGATGTGAGACCATTGCATTTTGCATAGCCCTCTTGCTGTTGGCTGTGCTGCTGCACTCCCAGGCATGTTGCATCAGAACTGTAGAAGTGGTGGCAATTAGCTCTTTGGCTTTTAAAAGTCAAGTCTTGCCTCCAAGTGCCTGTTTTGTTCTCGCCTTTTTGATGACTGTGCCTTGTGATGGCTAGAGAACTCCAGTTAACCATAGCTCTGAGGCTTGTTCGCTGTGAGGTACTGGAGAAAATGTGCTTATTTATTTTTCCCACCATTTTTCTTTTCATTTAGGTCTTCATGAGAGAGTTTACAGCCTGCCAGACATTAACAGTAAGTAAAAAAGAGAATTGTAGCATGTGGCTTGCTGTTCAAGAGAGGTTTCCAACATCTTTTTCTCTTCACACACTCTGGCTACGGGCACATCAGCACGGTTTGATGTGGCTCGACCATGGAGGACATCCCTCCACTGTGGTAGAGGTGAACTGTAATGCTCATCTTTTGCAGTGCAGTACACCTGGGGTCTCCAAGGGTAGACTCAGATACAACAGGGCTTTTAGTTACATGTCAAACTTGAAGCTTGCAACTACTCATCACCTCAAGGCACCTACATCATAAAACTGTCCATACTCTTAAAGAACACACTGAATTTGGGACTTCAGGTTGTGTTCCTTAGGAGACCTTGCAGGAAAGATTCACTGCACCTTGGCATTTGATATAGGAAAGAGCATTTTGCCTACCTTGTCTTTGGACTTGGTCTGGCATTTGTTCCAAATGTACTGCTGGGCTTGGCAGTGCTCTGGGTACAGAAGTGGGGACTCAGAAAGGAATGGATCCCTGTTAAATAGCAGAGCTGCCTGATGGGAACCAGGAACAGCAGAAGCAGAGCTATGTTGGGCTGAGCTGTAGTGCCTTCAAACATTGGAGTCACCTGGGTGGACCTCGGAGTGTTCCCTGTGGTACAGGTGCCCTTCACCTTCCTGCGGCGGTCACTTCCACATCTGTGATGTTGACAGCTGGAAGGAGAATTAATGACAGGCCAGCCAAACCTTTGCAAGATCAAATGTTAAGAGCAGGTATCTGCAGTGCTGCCTGGGAACTGCAGCCCAAAGAGTTCCTACCCTTCAGACCTCAGGCTGTGGGCACTGCATGACAGCTGCAGCACTGGGGCTACCTTAAGATGTTCCAATCCCTTTCCCAACCTTTGTCCCCTTCCCTTTACTTGTGCAACCTACTGGCCATGGTGTAGTATGCCAAAAATTTAAAAAGAAAGAAGACTTCGGGATGTATTTCTAACCTGGACGTTTTCACCTCATATAAGAATCATGGCCTCACCTACAGGTGCATTGCTGTGACCACCACGGTGAGGACTTACCTCCCCCAGGAGCAGGGTGCAGGAGCTGCCCATACACAGTGTGCCATTATCTCCCCTCCAGGTGAATGCCAGCGCCTCACCAGTGTTGACATTGGGGAAGACAGCGATGATGAAGACGATGTTCTTTGTGGTGCTGAAGCAGAGTGCTACAGCAGAGTAAGAGTTTCAGGGCCCCTTCTGCCTCACTGTGCCCTCAACTGCTGCTGGCCTGCCTTGGGTGGTGGTGGTGATGGTTTTCTATGCCATGTTCAAAACTGGGCCATTCTCTCTGTTTTCCTTCTCTGAGATAAGCCCCTCTCCCAGTTTTTGTAGAAACAACCATGTCAGTAAAATCCTCTGGAAAAAACACCCACTCTTGACACTAAGCTTGTCCCCAGTTAATATAAAAGTCCCACTTCCTACCCACATAATGAGAACCCACCTTTCTTATTAGAAGAGATACCTGGTAGAGTAGCAAAGCACAGCTGGGTTCATGAATATATCAAGTTATCTCCTGGTTCTTTCTGGGACTATGTGTACAGATTAAGAAGCCTGATGGGAAGTGTATTTGTCCCTGCAACATGTGTGAAATCTGCTGGTGTGTTTGAAATGCTGGTACAGTTACATACATGCTGTTACACACATAGCATCTCAGCCTGTGGCTACAGGTATGTGCTGCATTTCACACACTTCATACTTAATTTTGATCTGCTTCTGAAATCTTAGAGGCTTGTCTAAGGTGCTCCTGCCCCAAAGCAGCTGATGACCTCCCAAATATCCAGGGAGATCTGGCCACAGCATCCTTTCTCTGAAGACGGTGAGATGCTTCAAGACTCAAAAGCTAGATCTCTGAGCTGAAACCTGACTCAGCTTTCCCATAGTTCCTTTATAAACCAGTAGAGAGCTTTCCACTTCCTGCACATGGCCACAGTCCTGAGCCACAGACTGTGGAAATCAGAACCCACTTTTCCTTGACTCCATCGTAAGCACACGCTGCCCTGTGTACCTGGCTCCCCGCAAGCAGGATGTTAGACCCAAATTTTCTCTGCAAAAGGCCTTGCTTTGGCCTGTGCAAAATCAGGCAAACTAAGGAGACAAGGGCCTTCCCTCCCCCTTTCTTCAAGGTCAACTGTATTTTATGCTGAATTTTCCTTTCTTGCACTTCCTACACTGACTAAGATGCGCAAGACAAAGCGCCTGCTGTCTGTCCATCCCTTTGATTTTGAACTGGACTCGGAGTACTCTGCTCAGTCTCGCCGTCAGTCTGTGCAGCTCTCTCCAGCAGCCAGCAGCCCGGATGTTTTCCAGGTACTGGGAGAGTGCTGGGGGTTCCTTTCCTCTCTCATTCTTCCTCCTTGCTACCTCTGCTACCTCACCCTTGAGCTATCATAACCTCCTTCACCTGGTGTTGAGAGGCTATGGTGCCAATCCTTGTTCCCCATAGCCCCGCTTGCTCTCTTCTTACATGTGAAGCCCTTTGCCTCAGGCTGAGTCAGGAGCAGGACATCTGACTGAAGCAAGGATGAGTGGTAAGATGAGATAGCAAGAGGTTCTCTGGGCTTCTCCCTGCATATTTCTTTGCTTTTGCAGACAATGGTTTTCTTGTGTTGTCCCACGGCCATAGTTTCCGGCGAGCTTTTGGAAGCTCAATAGGCAAGGGATGAAATGAAACCAGGTTCTTCTCCCATCATCCCATCAGTTTGAGGCTGGTTTTGCCATATGGTGGCACTGGGGATGTAGTTGGCTGGCAGCATCATGGGGCACAAAGCCTTTGTGAGATTGAGAAGAATCCCACAGAGCCAGCTTGATTGCAGTGAGGGCACCTGCAGGATGGGGGCCTCCGTTGGTCAGAGGGGAGAACATAGGCAGAACAAAAACTGCAAGAACTGGTTTTTTTCTATATAGGACACTATATGTGTCTTAGTGTCAGGAGCTCCTGACCAGGAGCAGGACTCATGGACAGCTCCAGCAGGAGCAACTGCAGTGAGCTGCATCCCATGATCCCACCAAGAGCTGGGGGTTAGCCATGCCCACCTTCCAGCTCTGGGGAGGAACACAGACGGGGCTCCCCTAGATGTGGCAAAAGGTCTTCCAGCCTAAGATGCTTCAAATCAAGCTCTTTGGGCTACTCCTGTTTGCCTTTCCTGTTGAAATTTCACTTTTAAAACACTAAACATCTCCTTCTTCCTTCTAATCATACCGTGATGCTTTAAACTCTATACCTGGGTGGAAGTAGGATGGGCTGAGATGTGTAACAAAGGCTTTAAAAAGACCAATCTGCACAATTCCACATAAATTGACAAGAATCTGGAGCAAACAAGTAGATTCCTTATTTCTTTATGTAAGCCTGTCTTTGTGCAGCAGAATTCATCATGAGTCTAGGGAGGGATGGCCTTTGTCAAGATCATCTGAATCAGATTTATCAGTTACAGATTATCTGAGGGGCAGAAGGTGGCTATTGTTTGACTAAGGGAAAGGGCATAGAGTTTTAAAAAAGCAGAGCTTTTTTCCACCTAGCTGAAGGGACTCTTGACTAATCCTTGTAAAAATTAACAGTGCCCCCTGGCAGCGATGAGAAGTATTGCTAAGGGTTCATCAGCAAGGTAAAGAAGTCTTTAAACTGGATTATTAGGAATTGCCTGTTAGCAAAGGTCAGGAGAGGCAAGGAGTCCTCACAGGCAGCTGCTCAGCAGCAATCCTCATCTCTCAGTCCTTCCCAGATTTCCCCAGCTCAGCCGAAGATACCTCCCAGCAGGAGTCCAGGATCACGGATGCCGATCTGGTTTTCCACCACGTCTTGAAGGAACAGGGACGGGGCGTGAGCCCTCCGGAGCAGCACTTCAGCACAGAGGTTCGGCTCACTGTCAATTCACGGAGAAGAAGCCTGGAAAGAAATGCAAAACCTGGTAAATGTCTCTGCCCAGGCTTCTCTTGTATCCTTTTGAAGAAAAGTGGCTGCAAGACTTGGACCAAAATTTAATTCGTTTTAACAACTTCAAGGCCACTAAAAGGCTTGAGGGTCAAGACAAAATACGCATCCGCAAAAGCGATTTTTCTCATGAAAGAATCAAATGAAGTTATTTAGCTGTAATGCGCTGGTCTTGTTCCCAGCAAACTAATTTCTCAAAGCCAAAGGGGCTGTGCTTATGGTGTCCATCCCTTTCATACCTACCAGTCTTGTCCACCATAGAAACTAGATACAATCAGATGGACACTACTAGAAACAACGGAGTGTGTTTCCTCCTGCAGGCAGCAGTAGATGAGTTCAACTCTTTGCAGAGGATGTTGTGGGTGCAGAAAGTCTTGAGTTTTAAGGGGACTTGGACTGGAGTAAGACTGGACAAGAACTGGAGGCAAGCGCTGGGGGTTGCTAAGTGGCAGCCTTGTAGCTGGTCAGGGCGCAGTGGCAGGCTACAGAATCTGTGGTTTCATGAGTCTATAAATATCCTAGTAAATGACGGTGCAGAATTTGCCTTTTACTACTACTGTTTCTCCTGCTGTGATAGCAGAGCCAGTAGAGTTGGATACTGGCTTGTGCACATGCAGCTGTAAAATATATCCTCTGGGTCTCTAACTGCTTGGTTGTATTTTCAGGGCACTAGGAAATGCTGGGTAAACCTTACTGTGTGCTGTTTAAATTCCCACTCTGAATCCTGCTGGAGTGACACAGCAGCAGGACCCTCTGGCTTGTTAATTCCATTTTTCTCTCATTGTTTTTGTTTCGCTTGAAATTCTCCTTTAAAAAGGAGACTTTCCACTCTTTTAAATGCTCCATCCTGGACTGGTCCCACTCCAGACTGAGCTAGCATGTGGACATGCAGTGTCCAAACCTGGGCTCCAACAAAATTTGGAATGCCATAGCAGTTTTTGGTGAGGGGCCTGACTGTTTGGGGCATGAGAGAGCAAGGATGATGCTCCTTGTGCCCACCGCTGTCTCAGCAGTGCTGTGTGGGACTGTGCTGAGCTAGGTGCTGTGTGACCACAGTGAATGGAGCTGCAGCCTGGTCCAGTGTAGCCATCCTTAACCTTGGTCTCTCTTGCAGAAGCATCTCCTGCCAAAGGATAGAAAGCATGATCTGGAGAAGTGCCCCAGTATTTGCTTGTCTTAAGGATGGGGCCAATGTCCACGAAGGAAATTAAGGGTGTGAATCTCTTGTACCTTTGTGCTCTCTCCAAAGGCAGCCCCTGGAGTGAGCAGCCCCAGTCCCGCTACTCTGCAGATATGGACACTTCTGATGAGGACGTGAAGGGAGCCCAGTTCCCTGCCTACCCGCCCCATCACACAAAACGCCGGAACAAAGCCCCCTCCCAGGAAAACATCAGCCACTCTGGGAATCAGGTACCAAACAGCTGTCGAACTTCTTGCGAGACCAAGTTTGCAGCCAAGCCTCTCTTGCCACAAGCAGTGCTTGTTATGTGCGAGGTGCAGGATGGTTCAGAAAAGAGAAGCAGTGATGGCAAACTAGGGTGCAACCACAGTAGTCTCCCAGCCAGGATGGATGTGGAGCACAAGCAGAAATCTAGAGTGCCCTAGGTATCTGCACAACCACTGCCCCTTGTGCGCAGGGGCAGTTCGGTGATCATGCTTCCCATGTGCAGGTCCAAGAGGGAGCAGAGTGGGCCCCACTTCTCTCTTGAGATCCCTCCTCTTCAGCTCAGGAACTGAAGAAGCTGGGGGTGTAGCCACTTTGCATTGCCAGAGCGATACAGCGGGCCTGTGGGGTGACCTAGGAGATGGCTCATTTACGTGTCATGTCAAGCTTATGTGGCCACAGCAAGGTGAATGCCTCAGCCGTGTCCTGCCCTCTGTGTTTTGAGGGACCTGTCAAAGTGGTCGTGAAAAATGGGAGCAGGACTGCCATCTGGGAAGGTGCATTTAAGTCTCCTTCATTCATTAAGATGAGGGAGAATAGACATTTCTGTGACCTTTTAGGATGATGCAGAAGTGCGCTGGAGCTCTGTGCTTCTTCTCCCAGGTTCTCCTTCAAGTCTTTCCACTTTTGCAGTCACAGCAAAGAGAAAAATCAGGCACTGGTTGATGCTTCATTCTGCCCATGCTGCTGTTGCAGTAACAAGCCTGTCTTCATTGTTGTTAATTTTCCAGCTCGTCCTTATTAATCTGCAAGTTACCTGTGGTTTCCTGTGTCCCCCAAAAGGCTTTCTTCAACTGAATGTGCCAGTGCTTTATGATCAGACAGAGGTTTGGAGAGGGATGTTTAATAAGCATCAAGATCTTTTTCTTACTTTGCAGTGTGTAGTGTTCCTGCCCTGGTAGGACTGGGTCAGGACAACCTGTCATGTATCTCTCCTGAATGTTGATAATAGGGGGAACAGTCTAGAGAAGGGTGTCACAAAGGCTGCAAGCTTGTGTTTTAATTGTCAAGCAAGGACTTGCAGTTCCTGATGCCACCTTTGCTAATGGTAGGTGGTGAGAATGATAAAGCATCCCTCAGACCTCTTGAGCAGTAAAATGCAGGGTGGTGTTTGGCTACAGATACATGGGGAGAGCTGGCTGCCAGTATCTGCTCACAGCTGGTAATTTTGCATGTCCTGGACCTTGCTTTGGGTAATCAGTGGGGGGATCTGCAACCACAACCATCCTTCAGCACCACATTTCATGTGCCTGTGTAGGGAAACTTTTCCTTTGCCTTTTACTTCTCTTGGCACATGTTTTAATTAGAAAATGCTACTCCTTTTTCAGTCAGCAGTAAATGGAAGAACCATGGACTGGGTGTCCTTAATGAGGCCACGGTACGTTAGGCATGAAATGTGCACCGTGCTTTGCAGTGGTGAAATGGGGCCAAATTCCTGCTAACACTTCAGATGACTTCCTCCATGAGCTGGGCAAGCTCTAGCTTCAGGGTGGTCCGACGTGCTTTGTAGTTTGCTCCATCACACCAGTACGAAGGCTGCTGTGGAGCCTTGTCACTCTAATGGTTACAAGACATGTTCTCACTCCCAATTTAACCCCATTTGCTCTTATGACAACGTTGTTCATTAGCTTAAATAGCTCTTCATCCTTCCTGCCCTTTGTGCTGCTGATGTGTTTACAGCTAGCAACCATCCTCCCACCAAGCCTTCTCCTTGCCCAACAGGAAGAGACCTGGCTCTGTGCTGGACCATTAACTTCAGAATGATGTACACGTACGCTGCTGTTACCATTGGCCCAGCAGAGGCCAGGTACAAGCCCAAAAAATAAGGAAGACAACATCCAGGTTTTGGTGCTAGCCAGCTCTGCTGTATTGGCAGAGCTGGAAGAGGTTCAGAAGAGGATGATATGCATCCCCTTGTCCTGAGATTGGATGAGATGGAGGGGCTGAGGCTGGCAGAAGGGCAGAGACAGGCCAGGAGGGATTTGGGACAGTAGGCAGCAGGCAGCAGGCTGCATTTCTCCTGAGCCATGAAGTGCTGCCTCTTGAGTCGCTTAGGGGCCCTTCCAGGGTACATTATGCAGCCATCATCAGGGCTTCTCGGGTATCCCAGCCCTGATGGGACATCCCAGAGGGACAGCAACGATGGCTGAATACAACTGGTCACCCTGGTGCTGCACTTCTCAGAGGCTGTGGCCTTTGGTGATTCAAGATGGTGTAGGTTCCAGAAGCATGTTTGTTAACTCCCATTAACCCCGTATTGAATCCCATAGCCTAGCTTCAAAAGCAATGTTTTTCTGGTAGACACCTTGCTGGCATCTGAAGATTTCAAGAGGTGGAGAGCTCAGCTCTTTGTCCTGCATTGCTTTGACCCCACAGACAAAAACCCTCTTTCCTAAAAGTGCCTTAGGTGCAAGTTCAGTTGCAAACACAAGAAACTCAACTTTTCCAGTAACAAAAGCAGAGGCTGTTCCCTAGCCCTGTGACTCCAGGAGCTGAAGGTGCTAGAACAAAATTAAAAACAGAAGAACAAACAAACAAAATAATTTTTAAAACCTATTAAACCTGATGAGACATGAAAAGAAGCCCTGAATTGGTAACTGTGCAGATCTTTGCCTTTAGGTCTTTAAAAGCCAGGTAGGAACAGGACCAAGCCATGAGGAATGGCACCAGTTTGCCACGTTTCTCCCCAAAAGTCATTCTGCTCTACCTCAAGGGTGGATTCCCAAAGTTTTGATGCTGTCTGGCTTGTCTTCTTTGCATAAAGTTTCCGTTAGATGTCTCAGGTATTTGAGAAACTGGAGACTAGATTAACATGTCTTCCCTCCCCAGCAGCAAGTGATAGTTTGCCCTAACTGATGTCCTCCTTCTGGGCCGTGTTTTAAGTTTCTTCACTTTGAGTGTTTTAATACAGAGCACCCACTTGCCAGCCTTCATCATGCAGAGAGCAGCGTGGGGCGGTGCAGGCACTGGTGGGGATGCACCCTGGTGGGGTGAGCACCATGCATTAAAACCAGCCCTGCTCAGGAAGGAGAATGAAAGCAAGCTCTTCAGCTCCTATCCTTGTAGACCATCAACAGCAGACTGTGCATTATGCTCTGACCTCTCCCAACCTCTGCGTTATGGAGACAGACTAGTGCCGGTGCTCTTCATCACCTTCTCTTCCTCTGAAGCTGATTGCCCATCACAGACTTCTCATTGTCACTGAGAGCCATGCAAGAGTCAGGCCTTAAACAGTACTGAGAAACCACTTAGAGGTGGATTGGATTGCTTCCTGCCTGTGCATTTAATGCTGCTTAAAGACGCATTCAGTTTGGGATGGTAATTATAGCACTCTGTTCTTCAGAGTGTCAGGTTTTTATATTCATCATCCCTTAAGCAGATGCAATCTCTCCAAGCTGTTGTGAGGACCTAATTAATCAAACACTAGCAAGCACAAAAACTAAGTGAAAGGATGGAAATGTTATAAAAACAAAGCCAAGCCCTCGCATCTCTTTGTTACTGCATTTACTTACTGCATTTGCTGCTTCATCCCCTTTGAATGGGAGGCAGCCACTCAGAACAGCAGTGATGTGGGAGGTAGTGTTACAAAACGGGCAATATTTCTCATCATTTCTGCTTTATTTGTTTGGATCAAAGGAGAAAGACTTTTTCTTTTAAAGACAGCAAAACTTCAGTTTCTAAAAAGAGGGGGGGAAAGCTTCCTTTAAAGTTTTCAGTGATGTAACCACCAAAGTTCACCTTGGCTCTTGAGCATAGAAAGTAGCTTCTCTTTGATTTTCAGGATTTTGTGTATCTTCCTCTTCTCTACTATTCTCTTCATGTCCCTTTTTTTTTTTTAATTGGAAGGGTGAGGGAGAAAAGAGGGGCAAGCATCTTGGTAAATCCGTACATGGAGAAATCAGAAAACTTTGAAGTGTGTTGGGAAAAGCTTCCAGTTTTAGTTTTTCTATCTGGAATTTTTCATGAGAAATTCTTACCTTCTTTCCTCTTCCTTTCCAGCACTGTACTGACAGGGGGGTGATGGGGTAGTAGCCGTTTGAAAAATGTGTTTGTAGGAAGTGAAAATTGATATTGACTTGAATTTTGAGCAGCATGCAAATGATGGCAAGGTAGATGGCTTTGTTACAGCCTGATGCTTTCGTCTGGACAAGGGACGCAACAGGGCTGGTGATGTGGTTTTATGTTCACTGCATCAAAGCTACCAATACTTTGGTGGAAATCATGATGTGCTGGGTACTCAGCATCGCTTTGAGTTTTCCAGATTTGAGGAGAGGCTGTGCATCTCCTGGAGCTCATTGACATATCCAGGGCCATTTTGAAAAGACATTATTTTTTTTTATGTCTTTTAACTCAGCCCATGGTGACGGTGTCTTGCTGCTTGCTTTCTTCTGCTGGTTGCACTGTTTTCTCACTGTCCTGGCAGCGGTGGCTGGTCTGTTTTCTACCCCTTTTCTCTCTCTCTCTCTCCTTTCCTCTAGATTCATGAGCTCAACAAGCGTATGTCTGCAATTGAACGCATGCTGAACCGCTTGGAGGAAAAAATCCTGGTGCACTCTGAGGAGGTAACTGGGCCAAGCCCGGGCACTCTCTGCAGGGAGAGAGCAGGGGCTGTGCTGGTCCCTTCCCCTTGTCGTTGGAGGGGCTTCTCTGAAACAACTAGCATTGCAGGGAAAAATCCAGATAGACAAAATGACTCAGGCTGTTTGATTTTAATCCTCCCTATTGGGCTTGGAAGCTCTTTTCTAGTTACAGGTAATGAAGTGCCTTAGAAAACATTGCATGGCAGCACAGAAACAGAAGCGAATTTAACCCGTAGCATTTAGGCCCCCATGCAAACTCGTGCCCTCCTTGCTCCTTCTGCACAAGGAAAATCGGGGTTCAGGTTGATACTCTATGAAAAGCTAAGTTCAGGAGTACCATTAAGAAGGTGTCAGTACATCTGCAGAGCTGTGACAGCTCATTTGAAACCATGGGAGGCTCAATTAGTACATCGGAGGAAATCACCTGGTTATTGTGAATAGGAGATCTGAGTCAAGGAGGATTTCTGTATCTCTTCTGAGTTGCCCTTGTCTTACCATGCCATCAAGCCTGCAAGAAAACAGCTAAATTAAGTTAAAGCTGGGCAATAATGTAGAATCTGTGAATACTTATGTCGCTTAACATTGATTTGGGGCTTCTAATTTTAGACTGTGTATTCTTCTTCTCCTTTGTGTGAACCCATCACCGTGAGCTGCTCTGACAGCTGATGGCTCAGTAGAACAGACAGTGATAATTACAGCAAAGTCCCCTAGGCATAGATGAAACTATGCAATTTCTTCTTTTTTCTAAAATTTGCAATGAGCATGGCCATGTTTGTAATCATTCAATGTTTCTGTCAGTAAATCTGACCAAGGGAGTAGGAGATGTGCACATTTGCAGGTTGCCATGCTTTATTCCCCTGTGTAGGGCAGATCAGAGTAGAGGCAGCAGGTCTAAACTGCTGCGGGACAGGTTGATGTTAACTATTAAGTGAAGCTTTCTAGCAGAAAGTGTAACAGAACACGGGAATAGGTTGCCTGGGAGAAAGATAGCCTGCTGTGGATGCCATTGTTCAAGGTCATTAATAACAGCTTAGACAAAAAAACACCAGGTATGGCACAAATAATTGTATTCCCATGTTAATGCAAGGGACAACTAGTTCAGTAACTTTTAGACATACTTTCCAGTGCCTGGGAGTTTAATAGGAATCTTTTCCAGGTACCATGAATTGCACCTAATAATAGGGCCGAGTGAAAAATATGCCATCTATCCTACAGGAAAATTTGCTGCATGTTTTCTCATTGCAAGTAAGGTTACCTAGAGGCTTCAAAGGCTACTTTGGGGAGAAGTAGTTCACGTAGTTGCTTCCTTCACCTTAGTGGACCATGTCTTTGCATTGCTGTGATCTCTGCCCTCAGAGCTACTAGCCACGCCATGTTTCCTAATGAAAATGTGCTGACTTTTGGCCCCAAACCCCCCACGCACACCTTTTTAAGGGGACAACAAGGCAATTTTCCACAGGAAAAAACAGGCAAGTTCAGGGTGGGGGTCTGGGGGG